TCCAAAGCACAGCAGTGACGGCACGGCGAGACGGGCGCTGCCTTCCCTCCCTCTGCCTTGGGAATCTCTGGGATGAAAGAACCCAGCAGGAGGCTCCTGGGTTCTTCCCCATGGCCGTACTGGTGAGGCCGCTCCAGCCCCGGGGCTATTTCGATGCAAACGATACCACTATTTTAAGAAGGAGCCCTAAATCCCAGGGAGAGGAGACACAGAATTGTGGGTTTTCTTTTCAGACGTGTTTCATCCCCACTCCTCCCCTCCAAAAAAATCTGAATTTTTTGCCACTTGCTCCTCTTTAGATCCAAAATGGTGTCAAATTCCTCTGCAGGCTGGTGGGAGTCAGTCCTGATAGGGAGAAGCTGCCAGGTACAGAAAGGCAAAGAGGATTTTCCAGCCCTATTTTGCAGAAGAGGTTTGAAACACTCATTTCTGCCTCGAGGGTGTGATTGAAGCCCTTGAGTCCCCAGAAAAACTGTCTTCAGGGGGTTGTGTTATGCTTTCTGCAAGCATCCCTGAGGAAAACTGCTTGGGAATGAACAGGAGTATGGGGGGATTTGCAGCACATTCCCAAGGACAGCCTTACCTGTGGGAAATCGGTCCCTTTCAAGTCACACAGGTGGGTTATAAGACCACCTGGTGCCCAAGGTGGGATATAACCCCTTTGACATCCCCTCCTTGCTCAGGGACACACGGGCTGAGGGCCCAGCCTGGGGCAGGATTTCCATCCATCCTCGGGGGCTCTGCCGTGCTCCAGAACGTCCGTGGGGCCCCCGCTGTCCTCCCATGCCCCACTCAGACATGGCAGGAGGGAAAAATCCCTCTGGTATCGGCGCCAGGTTCATCTCCCCGTGCCCAGACTGCGGCCACTGCTTCCCCTGGACGGCCCAAGACTCTCCCTCCCTCCCCACATCCCCAGCCCGTCCCTGTCAGAGGAATCCTCCCCGCTGAACACAACAGCCCCTGCCAAGATAAAAGCGAAGCTGTGAATAATTCATGGCTCAATCTTTTTTACCACCGTCTGCTGTAAATATTTAAATAGCTCCAAGATGTCTGAGCTGAACTTCGGGAGGATGAACCTCCGGCTCAGGAAGCAGCACCACGGAGAGGGGGAGCTGGGAATGCGGCATGGGGAGGGTGGGAGATGCCATGGGGATGGAAGGGAACGTTCCTGTCTGCTCTGGGGCAGGGACGAGGGAACCCCAGGGGAAAAACTGATTTATATCTCCATAAGGAACAAATCTACAAGCCTTTCTCCCCTTCCAAAACCAGGGAAGTTCAGAAAGGGACGCATTCCCACTGCAGGATACATGAGAACATGGTTCAACTCTCCTCCCCTCTCCTCCACTGCCTCGGTGGAATTTCACTCGAATTTCTGATCGCCAAAAAAACGATCAGCAAATTCTCTTTCCTCTGGTCTGCAGCTCCCTGGGCTCTGATCTCCACCTGGAAAACAGGAAAACAGCATCTGACATTAAAGCAGCATGTGACTGTGGGCCATCTCCCAGCTCCCGGTGCAGCATCCAGCCCAGACACGAGGGGGTTATTTACCTAATCCCAGTGCTGTGGAACCATCTGGGAGCTCACTGCAGGAACCAGGAAACCCCTCCAGGGACAAACCCCATCCCAGCAGTGGGCTTGTTTTATTTCTATTTGCGGTGTGTGGGAGAACAGCACGTCCCTGAGAAGCTGCTGAGTGGCCACGTGTCTCCTCCTGCCTCAGCATCACTGCGGTGTTTCCCAACCCTTCCCACTGGGAATGGCTTGGAGCAGTTACTGCCACCGTGGCTGCAGAAATGGGGCCTTCTGGATCCTTCCCTGATGTGTCCCATGGCCACCTTGTTCCCCATCTCCATGTCTCCCCAGGGCTCTCTTTCGAGCCCCCTTGGGGAATGTGCTCAGCTGCTGAAAGGAACTCTGGGCATTTTCCTCCTGCAGATTTAAGTGGTTTTCACCAGGACTGGGGGTTTTCCAAATTTGCAAGAATGGTTTTAAATGCGCCAAGTTCTCTTCACTCTTCCCTTTCTCCCTGACCAGTGTATGAAACATTCTCGTGGTCCTCTTGGTCCTCTTGGTCCTCCTCCTGGCAAGACTCTGGTTGCAAATTCCTTCTTCATCCTCCAGTGAAAAGACCAAAAGACACTGGGCCATGAACAGGGAACAAGGAACACCCAGCACTTCCCACTTGTACCACCCTTGAGATGTGCAGCTCCATCAGCACAGAGGCTTTGGGGCCATCCTTGGATAAAAACCAAGGTACCTCCACGGAGCCTGACCCTGTTATCCTTTTTTTAAAGGCAATTTATGGTCTGGAAACAAGGGAGAATGGTTTAGATTGGATATCGGGAAGGAATTCTTCTCAGTTCGGGTGGGGAGTTCCTGGCACAGGTTGCCCAGGGAAGCTGTGGCTGCCCCATCCCTGG